TATATATGTATATCCTTGTTCATATCAAGGTCAGATTTACTGATATGGTATATAAGGATCTTCAACAGGTATATGTGATTTAGAACTCCATGGTCATACATGCCTGCCATGACTGTTTGTAATGCTACCGATTATACTATTTACAAGTAAGAAAAAATCATGTACATCATTGTTGAAAAATATTGACTTTAAATTGTACTCTAATATTGTGTAAAATCTTGATCTACTTGGAACAAGATAAATAAAAACATAAAAGTTATTTAAGTAAGTAAAATTAAGCTACATGGGAATGACGGCACAGACTTTTAGATGTTTCAGCAGCTATTTTGAAAAATAAAAATTACCATAGTTGTTACCTACATACAAAATGAATATGTCTAACAGAAGTTACAGTTGCTTTGCAATAAAATGGCTAAACTTCTTATGAAACGAAATTCTTAAATTTTCAGAGACCAAAACTATCAACATTTTGCGATTGTGTTTTAAAGGTAAAGTAATATTTAAGTAAAACTAATATTTAAGTTAAAAAAAGCAGCAACAGATAATGTTTGTGTTGGCCTCAGAAGGCCACAGACCAAGCCAGGCAGAAATGATGAAAGAGGTCAAGGAGGGCTGGTGCTCTGAGATTACAGCAATGCAGCCCAGAGAAGCCAGCTTTGTATCTTATTCTCTTTGACAAAGTAAATTTTCAGAAAAGATGAATGCATTTCCCCAGGGGCAGTGAGATAGCTCAGCACACTAAGCCGCTGCTTAGGCAAGCCCAGGGACCAGAGTTCAATCTCTGAAACAATAGGCTGAGCACACTGAGCTGGCCCCTGGATCCAGGCATAGTGGCACAGCCCTGTAATCCCAACACTGGGGAGGCTGAAAACAGGAGGATCACTACGAGTCCAAGCTGCATGTACCAAATACATAAATAAATAAAGCAATCTCTCATAGGATTCTTTGGTTCTTCAAATGTCTATTCAACTTATTTAACGTGTTTACCAACTTTTAGGAAAAAAAGAATAAAAAGAATTGCAGTAGAAGTGCCTCTGACTCTTGGCAAAAATGTTAAATTCCCTTTGGTCAGTTGACCAAAATCTTTAGATTATTGATTATCCAGCTTACTTTCTTCTTAATATTTACAATACAGTGAATTATGTTGGCCATAATTATGCTACTTAAATGTCATACATGTAGAAAGTATTCGAATACTATACTTTGAATAATATATTTTATTAACCTTAGCACACATCCAACTGTACTAGAGAATATAAAATATAATCTGTGACTTGACTTACAAGCATTATTTGTTGTGGTGCTTGGGAGATAGCTCAGTGGAATAAGTGCTTGCCTGGCAAGTACAAGGTCCTGAGTTCAATCCCTGGTACAAAAAACAAACAAAAACAAGAGAATTATTTTTTATTAAAACAATCATTTTATATAGTTATATTTGTACATGCATATTGACATTGATAGAATAATAAATAGCTATAAATATAGTCCATAAGTATTGGCATCTAACCCAGGCACTATAGCTTATGTTTAGCTTATTCACATCTTTGTTGGAATAAAAGGAAGTGCTTGATAATTATCTCTCTCTAATGAACAGCTGTGTATGCAGCTGATTTAAAATATAAATATTCTTAAGGGCTGGCAAGATACCTCAGCAGACTAAATGCCTGCTTTGGTAAGTGCAGGGAGCAGGATACTACCCCTGGTCCCACATGCTCCTCTGGCCCCAACTCCCAGGGTGTGCTGAGCCAGCCACAGAGTCGAGGCGTGGTAGTACACAGATGTAATTCCAGGGCTGAGGAGGCTGAAAACAGGAAGATCACTACGAGTCCAATCTGCGTAGTGAGACCTTGTGACAAATACACAAATGAATAAAAAATAAACAAACAAATAAATAAAATATAAATATTCTTAGTCCAGGAAGATAATTACCATGTTAGCTCCCTATTTTTGAATTCTAAATCTAAAGAACAAAATGAAAGAACAAATTAAAGCAAATATACAATGCTATTAGGATTATTTACCTGGTCACATACACTGGATTTGCAATCAGAAAAAAAATAAAGGAATTATTTTGTACTTTACAAACCTTTGTTATTGTTACTGGAATCTGAATCAGTACTTATAGTTGAATATTTTAAGTATGTTTCTTGAAATTATGCAATGACGTTAGTTCTCTGAAATGACACTTGCAATACATTTATAATTCCTCCTTATCCCATGGAATTTCAGAACATATCTCTTTTTTACTGAAAACAAAAGTGTTAATCTTATTTTTCCGAATATCCCTCAGCCAATGGCGGTGTGTCCATTGACTGTCATCCTCTGCTTTTAGTCATTTTGTCCACCATCAAAATTGAAGTAGCACATGTATCCAATTGTTCTGTGCTCTAATCTGTTAACAATTAAAACATGTATATTGAATGGAATGGCTTCTAAGCCTGTGTTTTCCTACATAAACTACTTACTATTGTGACTGTAATGCAGAGAAGCCCTTCATTCTCCTCACCTGCAGAGAAGTTTCCCACTATACATTTTCAGCCATTGTTAATAGTAGATCTCTTGACATGCTTTTTAAAACAAAAAATGGAAACAAGTTTGAAGATTCTACAATTTGGAAGATACATTGCAATACAATATTTTTTCTGCCTAAGAGTCTGTGGGTAAATTCTCTAAATTCTGTTTTATGGATAAACTAAAATTGCATAAAGGAAGAAATCATTAGGCAAAGGGAATGTGAACAGAACAGAGAGAATTCTACGGACAGAGCGAGAAGTCTATGTATCACAAATCACGCAGCCATGATATTTTAGAAAGTACACACTTTCGTTTTGTCTATTAATCAACATGGAAATTACATATAACATAAGTAAGTCCACGTTTGATTGTGATTCAGTTTGGTACAGGATTAATAATACATATGTCTGGATCAAGTTTCCTGATTAAGATATAAATCTTCTTTACAGAGATTAACTTACACTTCCAAAGTGATATAACTTTCGCTTTTCACTCCATTAATTCCTCCTCTAAATTAAAATCTGAAATATCTTCATTAGATTTCCTTGGGCCGGGGAGATGGCTCAGTAGAATAAATGCTTCCCTGGTAAGCGCAAGGGCCTGAGTTCAATCCCCGGTTCCACCAAAAAAAAAAAAAAAAAGAGCTCATATTTTCTTAACCAGCTTAGGCCTATGTACACAGGACTAATAACACCTATATTTTGATAAGCTGTCAATAATAATCTATAACGATGTGCGTGAGGCTGATTAAGCTTTCTACCTGCCCTTCTTGTAGAGATCGATATGCGGAAGAAGCAGGCAGTCACAAGTAACCCATTTACTTTCCGGTTTCTTCTCTTATGTGTCCTTGTGGGGAAGTCCCACACTGAAGACGACATTGTAGTTACAACCAAGACTGGAAAAGTCAGAGGGATGCACTTACCAGTACTCGCTGGCACAGTTACAGCCTTTCTTGGAATTCCGTATGCACAGCCACCTGTTGGTAGACTTCGATTTAAAAAGCCACAGCCCCTGAATAAGTGGTCTGGTATTTGGAATGCCACAAAATATGCAAATTCTTGCCATCAAAACCTAGATCAAAGCTTCCCAGGCTTCCAAGGATCAGAGATGTGGAATCCAAACACGGACCTCAGCGAAGACTGTTTATATCTTAATGTGTGGGCTCCAACACCAAAACCGAAAAACGCTACTGTGATGGTATGGATCTACGGTGGCGGCTTTCAAACTGGGACGTCCTCTTTGCATGTTTATGATGGAAAGTTTCTGGCTCGGGTTGAGAGAGTTATAGTAGTTTCAATGAACTATAGGTTGGGGGCCCTCGGCTTCTTAGCTTTACCAGGAAATCCTGAGGCTCCAGGAAACTTGGGTTTATTTGACCAACAATTCGCACTTCAGTGGGTCCAAAACAACATAGCGAGCTTCGGTGGAAATCCCACAAGTGTAACTCTCTTTGGAGAAAGTGCAGGAGCCGCTTCCGTTGGACTTCATTTGCTTTCTTCTAAAAGTCACCCTTTCTTCACCAGAGCCATTTTGCAAAGTGGGTCCCCTAATGCACCTTGGGCAGTGATGTCTCCTTATGAAGCAAGGAACAGGACATTGACATTGGCTAAACTTATTGGCTGTTCTAAAGACAATGAAACTGAGATGATAAAATGTCTTCAAAATAAAGATCCCCAGGAAATTCTTCTGAATGAAGTATTTGTTGTCCTACAGTATGATAGTCTCTTGTCGGTGAATTTTGGTCCAACTGTAGATGGTGATTTTCTCACTGATATGCCAGAGACTTTACTCCGGCTTGGACAATTTAAAAGAACCCAGATCTTGGTGGGTGTGAATAAGGATGAAGGCTCAGCATTTCTAGTATATGGTGCTCCAGGTTTCAGCAAAGATAACAGCAGTATCATAACGAGAAGGGAATTTCAAGAAGGTTTAAAACTATTTTTTCCAGGAGTGAATGAATTTGGAAGGGAATCAGTCCTTTTCTACTATGTAGACTGGCTAGATGACCAGAGACCTGAAAACTACCGAGAGGCTTTGGATGATGTTGTGGGGGATTACAATTTCATATGCCCTGCCCTGGACTTCACCAAACCCTTCTCAGATTTGGGAAATCATGCTTTTTTCTACTATTTTAAACATCGATCCTCCAAACTTCCTTGGCCTGAATGGATGGGAGTGATGCATGGCTATGAAATTGAGTTTGTCTTTGGTTTACCTCTGGAAAGAAGGGCTAACTACACAAAAGCTGAAGAAATTTTGAGTAGAACCATAATGAAAGACTGGGCGAATTTTGCAAAATATGGGTAAGTTCCATGTATTGTAATTTTTCTCTAGTTTTCTTTGTTTTGCTGAGCATTGCTCTATCTCTGCTATAGATTCCCTTAAAGTCATATAAATTCTTTATTATATTTGAGTCATTTTTGTAAAATGTAGTGGAGCTCAATTAATGTAAATCATCATAGAAGTTTTATGAAAAATACTTTGTTTTCTCAATATATTGCAAAATACATTGGCAATGTTGGTTAAATATTCATGGAAATAGATGCTTGCCTTGAAAACTAAGTTATTCTGATAATGTGTTTTGACCTGCACACTTACAATGTTCAAAGATTTAGCCAAAAATAGGAATATATGTTCTTATCCTCATCAGCCTGGTCTATTGTCTGATACATGGGAAGGTGCATCTCTGCTCAGGAAAATGAAGGGGAAAGATATTCATGGAAACTGCCTTCTGAATTACCCAAAATGCACAGTATTGACCAAAAGTTTCCCCAGAGTCCTTCACAGGACACTTGGTGACCTGTATCTGACAAGACTTATCAATTTCTTCTATTTTAATGAAGCTGTTCTCACTTGCAGAATCTTATGAGCAGCATGAGATAATCAGAGTCTTTCTAAAACATTATGCTTCCAGTCCTGTGTTATAATTATGGTGATATTATGTCTTCAAGAATTAGGAGAAATTGCAGACAGTTTGTAACTTACAGAAGTTTCACTACTGCTTGTTCAGTTTTTCAGTGGTGTAAAACTGATGCCATTCAGCAGCAACTGTTCTTAGCATTTTTTATTTTAATCCTTTCCTGGGCTACCAATACGATACTCTCTCAGGGTTCTGGCCAATGGGAACAAGATAAAGTTTGCAGTAGAACACATATTAACCAGGGTAAACAGTGGATACTCTGTCACATCTTGTATTGTTAAAATGTAACTTACAGCAGCATATGTACATTGAACACATTGTCAATACATGGTAATTTAACACATGGGGGATACTGGGATATTACTTCACGATAAATCAAAAAGTATTTTAAATATATTTTTAAATATGTGCAAAAGTATGAAAATTTAAAACATCTGTTTTTTGCTGCATTTATGTATCCAAGTGAATTTTATACTTTGTAATACTTTGTATTAATATGAATAATAAAAGATAGGAACTCTAGAATCTATTTTATATAGGGTCTGTACCATGTATAAATTGATGGTTAACTAATCTGATTGTGATGATTTGTTTAATTATCAAAATTCTTCTATTCAGAATTCCTTGTGGTCTATATTGCCACATCATTCTATAATAGCAGTTGCATGGTATTGTTATTTTTAATTGGAGACATTTACCTACTGACTGTTCCCAAATAGAGATATATAGCCACTGAATATTTCTATGTAACTAGAGATACATATGCACTGATTTTTTTATCTACTGAGGTGAAATTCATCCGCTGCCTAATAGGGAGCTTCTACAGCCTGGCTTCAGCACATCTTGCAACAACACCTACAGGCTAGGCTAGGTGGCTGAGCAACAGGAATGCGCCAAGCTGTACTCTGACCTGGAGCTGCATGCCCTGTTTGAAACAATGACTCCTCCACTTATCTTCCTTTTTTCATATAGTCTTGACATATGTCATCCAACACTTATTTAGTTGCTTTAGACATACATTTGGCTATCACGGAACTTATTGTAATTTGTCTACAGGCTATCTCTAATTTGAAATGCACCCTTTTAACTATACTAAATGAGCTTGAAACACTTGTTTTGAAAGCTGTTCATTAAAGTACTGAAATGGGCAAAATCATACTTAACAAGTATTTGACTAATGATCAGGTAAGAGCTGGTAGAAGTGTAATTGCTTATTTTTTCAAAATATAAGGATTATTATACCATTATTAGCTGTGAAACATTTTATGTCTTCTCAACATTAACCTAAATGTATGTTTAGAAAAAAAAATGAAAAAAAAGTAGAAAAATTATCATTTTATTTTTAGAGGTGTATAACAATGATTTGTGTCTCATATTTTTTCTAAATTTTCTAAAACATTCAAATATGCTTTTGACATGTTTTTACAGTTCTAGAGATTCTAAATTATTTAAACAGAAGTATTTTTCAAAATTATTTGTTTCAATAATTACTAAAAGATTTTATATTTTTGTATATTGAAATCATTTAGAATTCTATATTTTCTCATCTCACAGTGGAGCACAGTAATGATTAGGTATGCGTAACGCCCTGTTTATGATACATAATAGTGGTTCAAACAAAATTTCCATTGACACTGAGCAGAATAGCTTGTTTAACATAGTGAAATCATAAATTGTTAATCTTTTAATAAGAAAAATTAAGATTGATATTTTCAGCTGTACATTATGAATTTATAATATATAGATCATAAACTATAAAAGGTTATGGTAAACTTTGTAAAATTGTACAGACACAAGGTGTTACTTTAGGACCAAGGATATAGCTCAGCAGCACAAGTGCCTTCCTGGCAAGCACAGGATCTGAGTTTGATTCCCAGTACCAAAAAATAAAAAGATATTACTTTAGTAAAATGATTTTTCCATATAGTCAATATTTCCATGCAGAACAGAGAAAATCATTCATTTGTATTGAAATTTAACTGGTAGACAAACAAATGATAATCTTAAGTAAATGTCAATAGAAATAAAATTGGTAGTTCACAGTTTGGAAATGTACCCACATCCGTCTGTTCAGAGATTTAATATTCCATTTCTGCAGTATTTAAGGGTAGAAATCCCCTCCCCTCAACTCAGTATTGGGAAATTCGAAGTGCTTGGAGGTCATTTTCAGCATTGCAACTGGTGGCAAGATCATACTAAAGGGCAGGAACGCAGCTAAATATTGTCTAATGCGTAGGACAGAGTCACACCACAAATAATAACTAATTCCCAAATGTCCACAACACCAAGATTGAGAAACTGTGATATACAGTACCTCCCCATAGTGCTCAAATTGGACGTTAGAAAAGGGAAAAGTAGAATTGGAGCCATAATTTTGTTTCAGGAAAATGTGATGTCATTAAATATTTATTTGTCAGTTATATTTCTTCATCTGTGAAGTGTATATTCCTCTCAGATGCTGTTTTTTTGATTGGGTCTTTTAATTCTGGAGCACTGATTTTTTTAAAAAAAATCTTGGTGTCACAGATAGAAGTCTTTTTTTTAAGGTACAGTTGACTAAAATTATTTCCCAATTCATGAATTTTCTTTCACCCTGTTGGAGATTTTCCTTGAAGTTCAAAGCTTTTTTTTTCTAAAATAAGATTCCAATGAGTGATTCTTTGAAATATTTTTCCTGCAGTTTGGTTTTTGTTCATGAACTCTCTGCCTAACCCTATGCCTTCAAGATTTCTACCTATTTTCTTTTCCAGTTGATTTAGTATTTCTCTTTTAATACTTAGATCTTTAATCCATTTTGACTTTAGTTTAATACATGGTGACACAAGAAATTATTAAAACAGAACTGAGATTCCATATCACCCCAGAAAGAAGATCAATCAAGAAATCAGCCAATAACAAACCCTGGAGAGTTTGTGGGGAAAAGGGAACCCTTCTCTATTGTTGGGAGTGTAGACAGGTACAATTACTATGGAAATCAGTGTGGAGACTCCTCAAGAATCTAGGATTAGAAGTCCCATTCAACCCAGATACTCCTCTTAGCTATGATAAATCATGATGCTATAAACATGGGTGTGCATATCACTGTGGTTATGGTGTCTTCAGTTCCTTTGGAAAAATATAAAGATGGAAAATATCTGATTCAAATGGGACCTGTCGTCCTAGCTTTCTGAAGAATCTCCAGATTGATTTCCACAGTGGTTGTATGAGTCTATAATCCCACCATATCCCCTCCAGCATTTGTTACTGTTTGACATCTTGATAATATCCATTTTTTTCTGGGATGAGATACAATCTCAGCATTGTTTTAATTTGCATTTCTCAAAGGACCAAAGCTGTTGACACTTTTTCATATATTTATTTGCCTTTTGTATTTATTTCTTCCTCTGAGAAGTATGTATCTCAAATGCCCATTTTTGATTTAGGTCTTTGAATTTAGGAGGCCTGTTTTTTTTATATTATTATTTATATGCTTAACAAAGAAGTCTTTTGTTTGATGGACTGTTGGATAAAATTTTAACCAATTTGTGGGTTTTCTTTTCACTCTGTTGGTGATTTCTTCTTTGATGTGTAAAACTTTTTAATAGGATGTGATCATAGCTGTTGATTCTTTGAAATATTACCGATGCAGTTTGGCTTTTGCTCACGAACTCTGTCTACTCCTATGTCTTCAAGAAATCTACCTATTTTCTCTTAAAATAGATTTAGTGTTTCTCTTTTAATATTTAGAAATTCAATCTATTTTTATTTTAGTTCAGTGAAGGGTGATGAACATGTATCTAGTTTTAGTTTCTGGTTTTTTTGGAATGTCAGGTTTTCAGGAACCATTTGTTAAAGAGGGTATCTTCCTTCCAACATAAATGTTCCAATATCTGTGTCAAAGATAAGGTAGCTAAGTGTGTTCATAGTTGTGCCTGTGTCTTCTAATCTATTCCACTGATCATCAGGTCTGTTTCTTTGTTGTTGCTGCTGTTGTTGTTGCTTCATTTTGCTTTTTGTTTTCTGACACTACCATACTCATTTTGTCATTGTAACTTTGTAGTAAAATTTCAGTTCAGGAATTGTGATG